AATCTCAAGTCAGAGGGCTACAAACTGAAAAAAATCAACAAAAAAAACCAAGTGATCCAAAAGATGAATTGAATCCATAACATACTTTTTACTAGCTACGTTAATTCTTCTTAGAAGCTTTGAGTGTTGCAAATAATCTTTTATCCTCGTGTATCCTTCAATATTAATTAATTATCCTTGAATCAAAACACTTTCGGATTCACTTAACACTATTTTTAGCTTCACGCTTCATTCAGGAATAATTGAATTGTGGAACCATTTAGAGTGAGAGCAATAATGAAGTTTCGCTATCGTTGTTACGAAAGTGCTTGGTACGTAGAAAGTGCGACTTCTAGTATTCAAATTGTCCTAAAATTATCCGAAAATTAATAGTAACTGAGACTAACACGTCTCAAAATTACGCTGCAGTATTCGGTAAAGACTGCAATTTTCACCTTTTCTAAAACTAGGTCAGCGAGTTTTCACAGACACCAATTCTCTTTTTTACGAAACGTTTGCCTTATTGTCGAGTTTTTAATTTTATGTCTTTTGTTGTAGGTGCTCTTTAAAAGAAAGTAAAATGTCTTTATTAAAAATTAAAAAGAAACAAAACCAGTATTGTGTGCTAAGAAAGTACAACAGCCGAAATTTTAGAGACAACCTCACATTTTACACCGTTAGGGGTGGTATTTGGAAAACTCATTTTATAGTTGCATAAGACAATAGAGAAAACGACAGAAAAAGAAAAGAGTGCGTACATAGGATTTGTAGAATTAAAAAAAAAAAGCTTTTGACAATGTTAAATGGAACAAGATGTTATACTTAGCTTGTATAAAAAGCAACAGGCAGTTGTAGAGTTGGAGCAGCAACGTAGAAAAGTAAATATTCGGAAGAGAGTCAGACAGGGATGCACACTGTCACCACTACTTTTTAATCTATACATCGAAGACGCGATCAACATCATTAAAGACGGTACAACTGTAGGGATAGATAGACAGGGACAAAAGATTAGTGCGCTTAGATTTCCAGATGATATAGCAGTATTATCATCTAGCAAGGAGAAGTTAGAGATAGCTTTAAATAAAATGGAAGCGGTATTAAAAAATGAAATTGTATGAAAATAAATAAAAGTAAAACAGAAATACTGATATGCAAGGAAAGAAAATGTAGGGTAAAAGCGAACATAAACATATGAGACGAAAAATTAGAAGAAGTGGCTGATTTTAAGAATCTAGGAAGTCGGATAAATCACGACGGAAGAAGTATTCTACTCTCGCAAATTAACTTAGAAATTCGAAAAAGATTGTTGAAGGTGTATGTTTGAAGTGCGTCGCTGTAACGGTGTGAAACATGGACGGTGGGCGCGGCAAAAGAGAAAAGGTTAGAAGCGTTCGAAATGTGGATACCGTGGATGGAGAAGGTTAGAAACAATAGGAGAACAGAGGATTCTATAGAACTCAATAAGAAATAGGCGAGATAGGTTAGTAGGACACCGGGCATGAGCGTCTAGTCAGAAACATATTAGAGGCAGAAACGGGAGTTACGAGGGGTTGAGGTAGACCTAGATTAGATTACTGGAAATGCGAAGATTAGCTCAGGATAGGAAACAGCGGAGGTGCGTGTCTAACCAGTTTTAGGACTGACAACCTTATGATGATGATGTTGAAGACAAAATTTCAATCGTTCTGACTTAACATTTTGGGCTGTGCCTTAATCGATACATCAAACTTCGAACGCCATTTTTATCGCTTAAGTGCTTGCCTAAGTTGTAACAAAAGTCTCTAGACTCTGGGGTTTTGTATATTTTGTACGTTTTCGCTATACTTTTATAATTTCATATAATAAATCTCGAGTAGTTATAATTTTGCTTCAATTTTAATTGTGGAATGAAAAGTTAAATAATAATCATCAGTTTGATTATTATGTAGGGCCGTTAGCTCAATGACAAAGAATTTCTTCTTCTTCCTATTCTGAGCCAACCTTCGCATTTCCCGAAAACTAGAAAATCCCACATCTCCCTAACGATTTGCAAACAGCGAACCCTCTGCTCCTATTTCTGTTTCTCATATGTCTCTAACAAATCCTTTATCCATTCATGTCTCAGAACGTGTCTTTTAGTATAAAAAGATTTTAAAGTCATTTTATTACAAAATAAAAATAAGAAAATAAACATGTTTCATTCATTTATACAAATGGACCGGACGTAAGAACGTATCAGGTCCTGCATCCTATTGCTGAGGGTCTAAACTTAATTTTACGTTTTAGGTACATTTCGTCAATAATCTATTTCCATTTCCCATGTAATTCAAAGCGAATATAACGACGAATTTATTTTGTTTACTATTAGCATATCCACTCAGGATCGGCCCCACGTGGATCAGGATGCTTCCTTCATACGATAACAAAATAAAAATTTGAAATTCACATGAACTCGAGTTTCCGTGAATTCTGGAAACGAGAAAGGCCCTATAACACTACAGACGAATCCAGTGGTTTGAATATGAAATACGATTTATCGCATCAAAACCATTTTTTTACTGAAAGTAGTATTAGATATTCATCTGATACCTACTTCGATTCCTACATCAAAGGTCTTCTGTTTGGTAAATGCAGCCAAACAAAAAAATGACCAATCGCAGACTTCGTTTGTGATATGTGCATAACGCATATATTACAACAATGTCACTAAAAGTTCATATCCAAGATGTTCAAGATAAGAAGAGATGATAGTACTAAAATAAACCAATTGATTTTCTTTTCGAAAACATATAATTTTTATCTAAAACTGTTTTCAAAGTAATGAGATCAAGTTAATGTATTTCATTTTTTTTTTTCAGTAATTTAAATCTTATTCACCACAGTCTAGTATCCAACATATGGTTCCAACATATGTGTCCGTCCTACGGGAATTTAATTATCTATACCGAGGAGTATATTTCGGTATTGAATACTATTTCGATCATCACCATAAGGTCGTCAGTCCCAAGACTGGTTGGACACGCACCTCCACTCTTTCCTTATTGATGACGTCCCCCGAGGTAGTCCCTGCCCGGACATCCGAAATGGGGGACTAGTTTACGTCCGGAGTGCTTTACCCCAGAGGACGCCATCATTTAATTTGTATAAATGTACGTTTTACTCGGTATCATAATATGATGATTTCCCGTTGCCTTCCACATTGCAGTATTCTATATCAGAGTGCCATACCGATCCTCTTGATCTCTACCACCCTGCTTACTGAAAGAGCTGCTGCCATCTTTCAGAGACTTGTCTTAATCCGGTTTCCCTTTAAGAACCCCCCCCCCTTATGGTTGAACCTATGGTCTAACTCCCTAAATCACCGAAACTCGCAAGCCGATCCACCCACTCTAGATTGTACAAAAGCTTTGCCAAGTGATAGTTGGTAAAAAAACACTTTTTGAAAACTTTCACTTAATTTTTAACAAGTTTCGACCTGATGATGATTAATCCTTCTTCTGAAGATGGCCTTGTAGGTCGAAACTTATTAAAAATTTAATAAAAGTTAAGTGAAAGTTTTCAAAAAGTGTTTTTTTACCAAATATCATATAAACAACTTTCATATAGTAGAGGCCTATCAATTTTCTCAAGCTTTGTCAAGGTTCAAGTCCCGTCGGATCGGACTATTTAGATAACTTTCACCCTCTTTATTTACCACCTGTTCCTAGTGGGATGTCAGTCTGCTTTGCAATTAACCCCCGCTCTTATCATTAGATTACTACAATAACTTTAAAGTTAGGATTAACCTTGAATGGAAAAGCGCCTCTCGTAAAATTACCTTTGGTTGGGTAGGTACATTTATTTTAAGTAGAACGCGTACCTACTATGCGCTATATTAAACTCCTAGTGACCTAACTTGATTATTAGCTCATCGAAACTTTCACAAAAGTTACCAACACCAATAAGTACTCAATTTTAGTACGCCGTAAGTTTGAGACGATGGCGTAAGGAGAAGCGCAAGATATTAGTAAGTTGTTGGAAGCAAACTGGGAAATTAATTCAACAATCTATTGTCGAATTCACAACCAGCTAGATTTTCTTGAGTGCTTTGGTAGCATCAGTAATAACGGAATACAAAGGGAAACATAATTAAACTAGCATATTCACACGTACTTATCGGAATATCAATTTGATGGATTGATATTTAAAGTCTGTGGTTCTTATTTGTACGCTATTTTTGTTAATATTATATACGTGTTGTTTTAAATTGGTAGAATTAGATATACCACACTGACCTACGTAAATGACATTGCATTTATTGTATAAGAATTATTGATCTGTGTATACTCTTGTAAATGGACAGATACTCAAAACATACGTATGTCGAGACTGTAATTATTTGATGAACATTGTTTTTGTTAATTTTTCCAAAAAAAATTCTGTTATAAAACAGGCATTAACTGAGAACATTTCCTTTCAGTCTTTTTGGTCACATTCTTCTGTTCAACATTTTTTTGAACATACTAAGATTTGCTGCACAGTGTCTTTGTAGCACTAGCGAATTTTCTTTGTTCTATTACTTATAATTTATATTAGCAATACAGTTCTACCATATCTCTATGTAAAATTCTTGTGATACAATACTATTGTAGTGGAATTGATTCGAAACTGTACAAAAATTTTTCAGAATAACACGNTTTTTCTTAGCAATACAGTTCTACCATATCTCTATGTAAAATTCTTGTGATACAATACTATTGTAGTGGAATTGATTCGAAACTGTACAAAAATTTTTCAGAATAACACGTTAGCATCACCTTATTATCCTGCTTTCGAATAAGGATTATTTGGTAATTAAACTTGCAACTGAAATTTTACTACAGCTTTTCGTTATTCCTTTAAAAGCCTAACGGCCGTGCTAAGTGAGTAGTCCTATAAATTTGTGTCTCGGCACGTAGCAGTTACTGACGCAACCCATTAGGGTCTGAACGCATTCGAAAAGCACACAGATATCTCAGATACGAGAGCCCTTTTGCTATATCAGATACTTATTAAGTACTCACCCGGCTTTCCTGACGGCACCTGTGCAATTAAAAGAGGCAGCGGCTGTTCCAGTTTGTTTCGCTTTGTACGGTGAATTCATAACGCTCTCGCCATCGTCCTCATCCGATACAGCCGTGGTAAGGGACATACGCTCATCATCAGATATCTGAAATGAGAAATGTATTTAGTTATAATAACACCCTTCGCATTTTTAATTTAATGACAGGCTAGTCGGCTTTTGGAGGGGGTTAAATCGGGCTCTAGGGGCATCAAGCGATAGGCATCAGTGAAATACAGAAATATTTTGTTGTTCTAGAGGGCAAAAGAGCACTACGCGCCTAAATAAATACTATTCATCATAAAAGCTTTTGCGCCATAAAATGCTGATCCACGCACCATGTAAAAGTCATATTATACGGCGAGTGGAGCTGCAATCCACGCGCTGCGCGTGTGTCTACACTGAACCCATTAGCAACACGCAAAATGCCAATTAACGCTCTGTGTAAGGGACATGTTACTATGCGGGTGAATTGGCAACCCGTGCGTGGCATGTGTGCTTATGCTGACCCATAATTCAACACGTGGCGTAGGTGCCTGAATCTATTAGCCAACGCGTGGAATGCCGATCCATGCTCTGTGTAAAGACCTTGTTACACGTCACGTCGAGAGACAATTCACGCGCGGCGTGTGTGTCTACACTGAACCCATTAACCAACGCGTAAGGGCCGTGTTATACGGCGGATAAATTAGTAACTCATGCGTTTCGTGTGTGCTTATGCTGGCCCATAATCCAACACGCGGATCAAGCGGCAATCCACGCGCGGCGTATGGGCTTATACTGAACCTATTAGTTAACGCGTGGAATGCCGATCCACACTCTGTGTAAAGAGCTTGTTACAAGCGACAATCCACGCGCGGAGTGTGTGTCTACACTGAACCCATTAGCCAACGCGTGGAATGCCGATTCACTCTCAGTGTAAAGACCATGTTACGCGGCGGGTGAATTGTCAACCCATGCGTGGTGTGTGCCTATGCTGAACACTATCAGTCAACGCGTGGAATGCCGATCCACGCTCTGCGTAAAGGCCATGTTACACGGCATGTGGAGCGGCAATCCACGCGCGGCATATGTGACTATACTGAACCTACTAGCCAACCCGTGTAATGACGATTTACGCTCTGCTTTAAGGTCACATCACACGGTGGGCGAATTAGCAACCCATGCGTGGCGTGTGTGCCTATGCTGAACCATAAGTCAACACGTGGAATGCCTATCCACGCTCTGCGTAAGGGCCATGTTACATGACGGGTGGAGCGGCAATTCACGGCGCAAAGTTTGCGAATTCACGCTCTAAATGAACGCCCTGACGCGCTCTTTCCCAAGGGGAGTAAATCCACGCGCCGTGTAACAGGAATCATACCAGTCCTGTTTCAGTTAAGTTAATAAAACAATGGTTGCTTTTCACCGAATATTTAACTGTAAGTCTCTTGTTCGTATGTAAACGCGTTCGTAAATTAAGTGGAGCCTCATCTTCTGCCAAGCGATTAAAATTTTCTAAAGGAAACTAGTTGGAAGTGTATGTGGCGTACAAAGGATTCCCCAAGGCGATGTAATAGCCATTACGAGGACTATATAGCTCACATATTTCTTACGAACTTAAAGAGAAACTGTGCAAAGTTTGGTGAAGATTTTGCATGGTTACATTAACACAAACATTTGTTTTGTTTTGCATTTATATTAAAACGAAAACAACGAACAAAATCGTTGGTTTTTACCACGGGATAGGGTTTTCACTACATGTAGGTACGCAATGAATTAGGTTAGTTTATTTAAAGTACATAATATTTTGTTTAGTTAACATAACAATGTATTTACTACTAATTCCTGCTATTCATTATGTTGATCGAAAAATGTAGGCAACATTGTAAAGGGAATCTGAGAATTTCTTCAAGTACTTTACCAAATCATTTTCCGTTTCCATTTGATCACTGAAAATGAATCGAAATGTCTTGGGAAATCAACTAAATTCTGGACGCTCTGCAGTCGAGGAACAATTTAGGGAATCTAGAGAATTTGTTTTGCAAATCTCCGCATTTTTTAGTGTTTTATAGGTATGCAATATACTTGTCGTAATGTAATTGTTTACAACATGCCATAAAAAAGTTTACATTGATTGAAATATGCTTTGGTTTTCCTATTTTACAGAAAGCAAGGATATATATTTACTTTCGTAACAAAGCTAACGATAAGCGTATAAATTGTCCATATATGTTACCACGTAAATTACCCAGCAGGGAGCTGTAGTAAATATTTTATACCAAGTAGTAATGACAAACATATTTGAGTCGATTAGGATGGTGAAGATCTACCATCTAGTAGATAGTAACAACTGGCTCTTTTCCAAATTGACAATATACATACAAAGTGAAAATATCTAAAATCTTTCGAACAAAAGCTTAGCATTACATTTATTGGACTTCCACTACTTTATTATTTATTTGTACTTATGCCAATTGTTTTTTAATAGTGTCGCATTTTTTTTAAAAATGATGTCGCTCTTGGATGATTGCATGTACCTCATAGAATATCGCTATGCTCTGTTGTCAGCTTCCCACTAGTGTAGATGTACCCACATCATTAAAAATTGAAATTATTAATTTGAAATAATACAGAAGACAAATATTCTATATACAACAATTTTATCAGCATCTTAGCAAGGTATTGGTTGAAAAAGACAAGGCTACTATGTTTACATTTAAAATTTCAATAGAGCATGTAAGTTATGCTGAAAGTGATCGATAACTGTTGGAATGGTAACTTTTGCCTGACACCAAAGTGAATAGAATGATCACTGCGACAGTAATTTGTTTCGTGAACAAGGACAAATGTCTACAGGTCTCTCAAAGGTTATTAAGCACCTTAGATTTGTTGAGTGTATGTAGTCAGAAATAAGTGGTGCTATACTAGGTATATTATACGATCGATAGAAGCCAATGAATCAACACATCAATCAGATGGACCCCTACGACAAAAAAAAAAGGATTCGACAATTGCTTGCGATACTGATTCCAAATGTCGCAATTGTCAGAGCCCGTGTCTGGATTCTGAAGTCTACGTCTAATTCCAAAAAAATTAAAATTTTTGACCCTCTTGTGAGCTACGCGTAAAAAAAGATGAAACTAATTAAGGAGTAATCATCTTTAGTTAGTTTTTATTGAAATTTAAAGACATTATAGTTAAAGAACCCAAATTAGTAACATTCGGATTATTGAGTCAAAATATTAATGAAGCTAGATTCTAATTCAGTGACGAAAGATACCCAGGTAATGACAATTTTTTTATTATTTGTCCTTTATTCGCTTAGTACTTCTTTCAAAAGGAATAAAAATTGCATTTTTTGAGTTTTGAGTTTGGGGAATCCAATCAGAACTGGTGGCTTTGCTCTCGGCAATCACTGCTGCTACTTAAATAATTGAAAATGAAAATAGGGCAATGATTTAACCTGCCTAGATAATGGTTTACATTAAATTGTTTGGTTTGATATGTATTTGGACATTTATCGCTTTCAATACTTTTCGATTATATTATTAGGTTAGTCTGTAGACATCTTTTTGTTTATGGCTTCTAAATTCATTGCATTTTAGATAGCAACTCCCCTGTTATAAACATGTACCTAACCTTAACCAAATTGAATTTCAATCGTTAGAAAAGCAAGTAGATCATTCAAAATGGTTTGCGATAGCATCACGTTTACATATCCCGCATCGAAGTTTAAATTATTTACCTGTTCACGTAGTAAAATGCTACCATAAATTTTAGTTCAATTTTAAAAGTTGGTATAAAATCGCGAGATAAATTTCCTATCGATACAGGGATAAAGTTCAGAATTATCGACAAGCTTCTGTACAGCGGAGAAACCCACTTTTAAATAAAATTTCAATCATCAATAAGGATTCACGGTGACATAACCGTATCAATACTATTATACTCACTGAAGCAAAATAGTTTAATAAAATAAATGTTAAAAAATTGGGCTCTATTATTCAGCTCCTTCTTAATAAGAATTTAAATTTTGAACTTGGTGTTAGACTTGCTCATTTTTAGTCCTAGTCTTGATTTTAATCTTGTTAAATATGCAAGACCAAAACAACGCAAAATAAAACTGCAAGACCAAGACTATAGTTGCGGCGAACAAAAGAAGAATGCAGATTCGGGCTATAGGGCCGTGGTCTAAGTGAACGATTCCGTCCAGACGTTTCGTCAGCTACTGCGGCTGACATCTTCAGTGGTAGTGCTGCGTTGACAACGTGAACGTAGATTGTATCTCGATGTCTCGACAGCGGCTGTCGGCACTACCACTGAATATGTCAGTCGCAGTAGCTGACGAAATGTCTGGACGGAATCGTTCACTTAGACCACGGCCCTATAGCCCGAATCTGCATTCTACTATGGATTCCGGCCGTGAAAGCCTTTGTTCTTATAAAATTGGCAAAGTCTACATATAATAAATTATCTGGGAGAATGGGCGCACTAATCCAAGTCCGAAGCATTTAGAATTTACTCCTAAATTAGGTGTAGATGTACTTTTGGATCTCATCAGCGCGTCGCAGACAGCTCCGACAAAACACAGACCAACTTTTACCTGCTATCTTAACAGCGCGTTTTAGAAAATACCACAAATAGCGAGGTAAACGCCATCTGTAGTACGATGTTTCATTTTAGGATTACGTATGCTCCAACAAGGTCCATTTATATATATTTATATTATATATACCATAATCAAATAAAATAATTCGAAGTGGTCTGTCTTCTGTCGAAACTGCCAGACGCGGATAGCGATTTCGATCCTTTTGGAGGTTTCTTTGAGGTTAGCTACGCCAGGATTCTATTCAGCAAGTAGATATCCATATATTTAAATGGACCTTGTTGGAGCATACGTAATCCTAAAATGTAGCATCGTACCAAAGATGGCGTTTACCGCGCCATTTGTGGTATTTTCTAGATGTACTGAGTTCAATCAATCTCGTAAGTCTCTGATTGGAAACATGAAAAACTAAAAAGCTCAGTAGTTTTAAACATTCTATAGTTAGTGATAGTTCACATAATCCCAACTTTTCGTACATTATGCTAGACACTTAGAATTAAATTGTCAATTAAATACTAAG